CGCTGACTAAGCGATAAAAAATATATTTTCAATAAATTGTAGCTCATCTGACAAATGACTGCTGGAAACGTGGGCCTGACAAGAGTGTCCCCATTTCAGATCTCTCACAAAAAGTACACATGACGCGCATATTATATATATCAACATTTACATATGAAAAAAGTAAAGAGAAGTTTTTTTCCAGGCTCCGTGAGTCGGTGAACATTTGTTGCATCGTGATTTGGCTTATTTCTACTCTTTGATAAGTACTCCTCCACCTCCCAAAGCAGAGAAACAAGAACACAGCCTGATAATCAAATGGGAGCAGCCAAAAAAAAAGGTTTGGGGGATAACAGAAATGTATTGGAAGTTTTTACGCATATGATTTTGAGTATTGAAAGGCTATATAAACTTTAAAACTCTGTGTACTTAAATGCTTTTAGTACAAAAAACAAAACAGTAATGTAGTTTCTTTTTTTTTCAGTATTTAAAAAGCACGTTTAATCTAAGAATTGGTCTAAAAGAAGCTGTGCATAAACACCGCTTAAAAAGCAGGCAGTTCCAAGACCCGTCTACATATTAATGGCTTCGCTCTTGCTGTACTTCAATATTTTGCCAATGCCATGGCATTTTGATTTACAACCCACTGAGCAAATATATTTTTAAATATTTCCACAGAAATAAATTCTCTCTCGTGGGTCCAGCTAAGCGATCCTAATTTGCTTTGTATTCCGGACGGGAGGCATTTCCCCAACCTCTTCAGACATTCCCACTGTAAGGCGTTCATTTCATTTGATTTCGTTCCTTTTCATTTTTGGATACGCATTTCACGAGAAATGATTTATTAAAATTCCACAACGCAGCAGTTGAGAGATGAGATCCTTTCGCAGAGCCTCAATGACATTAATAATGGAAATGCCTTTCAGTCGTCTCTGTCCGTCCGAAGTCCCATAAGTATGCAACAGTTTGGCATCTGGCTTTAAAATATTTACGGTCGCTTCGGCATGCATGCTAAACTTTGCCAGCAATTGACCTCGGTCCAACATAAACAAAAAGAGGCTAGCCGAAAAACCAGAAAGGAAAATTCATTCGCTTTGCCAAATTATTCAAGACCGACAACTCACGGGTTGAGTTGCATAAAATATGCAACAGCCTTTGCAAAATCAGCTTCAAAAGCCGAGAAATTTCTGTGAGTTCGATTCTTAAGTTACTCGCCACTCGAGCTGAGAGCATTTAAGTTCACATAAAATTATGTTGTTGTGGTTGGGGGACCGGACCATCTTGATTTACGTCTCCCCTGAAACCAGACTGAATCTTTAATGAGAAGCCAACTAAACTGGTCAATGCTCAGTGGTCACATCGTGCACAGAGAAAATTCATGGTAAAAAAAAATGGTTTTATGCGAAATATACTTCTCTGAATACATAAGGGTGTTCCTGTTTTTCAACAGTGTAGCCTTGTTGTCATTCTTGTGGCTGTACCTTTGTTGCCTTCCATTTAGTAGCCGCCACACGAGCGCAAAAAGGTGGAAAGGGATATTACTGTGAAGGACTTTATTTGGTTTTGCGGCACTTGGCTTTAATTTCTTCGGAAAAGTTTGGTTGATTGTATTAATTGTTTTGTTATTCTTGGCAGTCAGTTAACCGAAAATTGTAAATTAATTGCTTGGAAACCAAAGCCGAACACACAAAAGACATGAAAGTGATGTGTAAGAGTGTGGGATGTAATTATTATCTTTTCATTTGCATAAAACTGATTACGAGTTTTCCCTGCTAAAAATTTTTGTCGAGGCAACTAACTGCCAGACGGATAATTGCTATTATCTGATTTCACTTTATGGGCCAGTTATCGAACGTATGAAATTTATGGCTGTAATTTACATACTTTTTATTTAATTTTCAGTTTTCTATAACCCAATTTCAAAGGACGATAACGAACAGTCGATTAAAGTAAACTTTTGTTATAAATAACAAGAAAATAATTTTATTTACATATAAGCGAGCAACCAAAGGACATCACATATTCAAGCCACAAATTGCTTGGATAATTATATCAATAAATTTGATCAAATATATGTAATACAAGCTAAGGCAGCCCTTGTTGGCTTTCATTTCCTTTCACATATTCATTTGACATTTACAAATTTTTCATTTGCATAAACTAAGTGCACTTAAACTGAACTTCATTTAATTTTCATTATTTCCAAATCATAAAATTCTTTGTTTGAGAAAGAGGATAATTGAAATCAATGTTAGCGTCTATTACCGTTAAGAATTTTAATGGTTTCATCTGTTAATTTTAATTAAATCCAGTTAAAGCAAACATTTTAGATAAATATTATTGAAGCCCATTCAAACATCCTCTTACAATGAAACGGATTTAAAAACATATAACAAAATAAAACAAAAGTCTTCAACCAATCAAAAATTGAATCGCATTTTTGGCTTACAAGCGCAACTCGCACTCGTAAAATATAGAAATATAATGCTGAATGATGCCAGCTGACGCTACTGTTTTTGGGTGTATGGGTGTCGTACTTTATTACACTAGCAGGAAAACGCCACTAATAACACCAATGCAGCAGCACAGACAAAAACAATAAATAAATAAAAAGATGGCATGGCTTTGTCATTGCCGTTGCCACAGTTTCGGCTTTTTCTCCATCTATTTCTGATGCTGATGCTTGCAAAACCGCATCGGTCCCTCTCAAACACACACACACATGGACAGAAACGCCGCACAGCACACGTTGAAGTTATAAAACACACAAAAACACAAAAAGGGGGTACATTTTTCGCCTTTATTTGTTTTCACAACTTTTGTTCGCGTGTGAGTGAGAGAACCTGTGTTATATTTTTATTTTCGTTGCTTTGAATTCGTCGCCCCAGCGAAAATTCCCAGAAATTTGTCTTCACACGCCTGTCAAACCGTTGCACCGCTGTCATCTATTCGCTAGGCTTAGCCCTAGTACAAACCTCACGTAGAGAAATGAAATACGGCCACTACACAACCCTTAACTCTACAAAAATAACTAGAAATTACTTTTCTAAAAAAAATCATGACGCATTAAAGGTATCCTACTAAAATTATGGGATACAATATTTGCGAATACGGATCATTGTTGAAGATTTTCTTGAAATAAAAATTAACAGATATTTTATAGATTTTATTTTCAAATAAAAGTACAGGAAACGTCTGTCAGAAAACTAATAAACTAAGTCGCCGGATATTTTTCCTTGTGCTGCGATCTGGAGCCCACTTAGTTGGCATGCGCGGCCACAGACCAAAAAGCTCGTGTACGTGGACACAACAAATTTCTGGTTCTGAATTTTTACAAAGTTTGCACTTTTTTCGGGGCGCAGAAAGGGTTAAGGGGCTTAAGTGGCGGGTGAGGGCCATGTTTGTTCTGCCCGCTGGACATTTGGGCTTCCGTTCGGTGGCGCCTTTGTTTGCCGCTACCGCTGCACGATTAAAATGTGCTCGACAAAGGAATTATTTAATACACGTTTCACCTTTTTGCCCAAGATTTTTATTTGCACTGTGTCGCATCTGGGGATCCGCATGTGTATCTGTGAGTTTGCCTCAAGCAAATAGCGTGTTGGTTACACATTTGTGTGCCCGTTTTTGGCTCTGCACAAATATTTGAGAGCGAGCAGCGAGTCGCGTTTTGCAGCAGCTGAAAATATAACGTATACGCAACATTAGCATGCATACCTGTGCTATTTGTATAGATAGTGTCGGTGTATGTGGAACGCTTAATGCTTGACGGCGTGCATGACTTTGATATAGGCGAACTTTCGGCCCATTACAATAAATGCAAATGCTGAGCAAACAGGCAACACTTACTGCAAGAGTTCCCCGACGCCCGAACGACTGGCAAGCCATAAAAATACACAGAGGCGCAGGCATAAAATTTATTTATTCAGCTTGCCAAAAATCCCACAGATAATAATTTCATTTACGCATTCCCACGAACGCAAGCCGAAACTGAGATGCCATAAAAATCAACAGAGTTGGCAAGAGCGATAAGTCTGCCATTATTCCAGTGCCGGGTGAACAGGTGAACAAATCTCGGGAAGCAAATTGGGAGGGGGTGCCATTAAATTAGGTACAGCAAGTAGGAATAAAATCACAACAGGCACACACACGCATCAATTCAACTTTAACTACATAAAAAGTAATGCCATAGCAATGGCTGTGCTTGCACAGAGAGAAAATAGCAGTCAAATAAACCATTTTTAGAAATATATTTCTTCTATTTTATTTATACATGTTTTTATATGCTCAAAAACATTCATATCTTTATATTTAATCATATACTTTTCTATCCAACTGAATTGGAACTTTTCTCTGCCTGCACTCTCATAACCTTACGTACTTTTTATCATTGCCGCTCCAGCCATTTTCAGATTTTCCACTTACAATTATGCATAATACAACGCTTATCGCCCACCCAATTGCCCGGAGAAGCTGGAGGAATGTGGAGGGGGCCCTGTTCTATACATCCGTGCACAGTGTCATAATCATCTATTAGCAAGGCAAATCAGTGGATGGCCGACTCGATTCGCTCCACTCTACTCCATGCGGCAGGACATAAGTGCAGCATCATTTCCGTTACATATAAATACACTTTTCTGGTTCAATTGCCGCTGTTTGGCCATGACTTGGCCGGCTTTGGCGTTGGCATCGGCATCGGGAGTCGGGATAGGGCTATATGGTATCAATATCGATATCGGGCATCTTCCGCACGGCAGTCAACAGTCAACGAGCGCAATTTAAACTTGTTACGTGCTTCCAGCGTCGTCATGTTCTCGGCGTAATGAAATGTGGAGCACAGATATACACACGGACTGCTCCCCAGTATCCAGTATCCAGTATCCAGTATCAGCAGCTAGTCAGACACGGCAGCATTTTTCTGCCTGATTTGAGGATGCCCTCGTCTCTGGCCATCGAAGCGTGCCCTTTTATTACTATCCCTTAAGCAAGGATACAGTCGAGTCATGCCTAGTCTCCCCATATCCTCATGTGCTCATCTCAAGCTGGAAGTTATGGTTCCTTCTTAATCGCGCAACTTGCCAAGAAATTGGGTAGTCTTTCCCCCTTATCGGTGATGATTAGCATTGTTTGAGTAACGCCTCGCGTGGGACACAAAAATCGTTTAAGTTATCAAACCGAATTTTAAATTTTACTTTACAAATTTTGGACAAAATAAATCATCTGTTTGCTAAAGAATATCCTATCCCAATCAACGGTTCAGTAGAAATGCAATCTCCCAGCGGTGATCCACATATTATTTTAACATTTCAATAGGAATGCCAATAAATAACCAATTGATGGCAAACAGCGCTGCGAATAAAGCAAACGATATAATGGAATTTTTAAACTTGAACTCGATGCCATAACAAAGGAGGGCCGCTCATGAGCATTCATTCATCAGGCCAATCAATCTGCGGGCGAAAAACTGGCAGATGCAACCAATTTGAAATAAACTATGCACAGACACCTTGCTGCCACGACCGAAGCCACGAAGCCATCACCTCGGCACTGGTTTGCCGTCCATAAGTTAGTCCAATAAATTCCTTTCGCCTTTCGCTAGGCCAGCGCCTGATTGCCAGGCAGCCTTTGATGATAAATTAAACCGTGTGTCTGCCGCTCGAATTTATTATGCGCCAAAACGCCAAATGGCTGTCAGGGATCTCTTCCGCGGCCGCGAAACCTTTTAAACTTTAAATCCGCATCAATGCATCATCGGTGAAAGCCGTGCCAAAGTAACAAACTTTGCTTTGCTCTGCTCTGCCGCGCTTCGGGTCGCGATTCTTTCTCCGGTTACCCCGCTGCCATAAATTGCGAAAGTGGCTTTGCCCGGGACCAAGGATCTGGCCTTTCTTCGCTGCAATCCTTTGCGGCATGTTTATGCGCTTCACACGCCTGTCTTTACCTGGCGCGTCCTGGCTCCTATTCCCTGCCCTCTGCCCTCTGGCGTATTGGTTATTAATGTTTATGGCCGCACGCTGTCATCATTTGATCTGTGCCAGTTAGTTGGCCAATGCAATTTATAATTCCATTACAATAATTCATAAGGAAAGACAAGCACACCTTGATTTCACCATAGAAAAATTTGTACATACATTGGCAATTGGAAATATAAATACTCTGGTGTGTTGAATTGAAACAATAACTTTTCATTCTATGCATAACGATATCTTACATACCGCAATAAATTACTTTGAGGGAAAAATAATATGCTATTTAGTTTGGGCTGTTACGGATAGCTCATAAACATAGCAATTTAGTCAGGGTCTGATTTTCAAAAACTCGTTTTGCCAGTGCAAAGATGTCACCCCATTTTGTTTTCGAAAGGCTTACGTTCGATTTAGGCAGATTTGATATTGCTCTATTTGCATTTCGTGCTTTATTGCTTTTATATTGGCTCATATTTCGTGTTTTGCGGAACGAGGTGAACTTGGCCAAGAGTCCACCGGAGAAGGGATGGCTGAGTCGACTCGGGAAGGACGAAGGTTGTAAATTGCGACAAGTTGCCAACGGGGCTTTAAATTTCAATATGCCAGCGATGGGCTGTATGTCATCGAATGACCGACACGACCACACCCCTTCCCTTGTGCGGGTGTGCAGAGCCGAAAATTTATGGCGTAATTGAAACCGGAAACTGCAACGTTTTGTGGTGAATTTTAATAAAGTTTGGCCTTTGTGAGTAGTTATTTATTGACAAATAGCTGATAATTTGATTTTGTGCCAATATTTAAAAACAATGCGACACACACGGGGGCGCAAAGATTTCCGAGTGGGAGGAGTCGATTTAGGACCCAGGCCATTTTGTATGACTCATGTTCAGATTCATTTCATAACGATTTTTTTCGTTTCACAATGAAAGGTGACAATGTAATTTAATTAAATGTCAGTGGGGCGTACGGTTAATCTACTTTAGAATATTGTGTGATAAAGATATAAATTGAGTTATTAGCGGTTGTTTTCACATGTTCGATCATCTCCGAAAAAGTGCATATTAAATAAATGATTGCTATAATCGATCTAAAGCATAACGACCATTATTTTTTGTAACCAAACATTAATAAAATATTACTAATCAAATCCCAAGGCGACAGATTACAAAAGGTGGCCGACTTATGAGTTATCAAACTTAGTATCATTTCCACTCCAAGCAACCATAGCAAAGAGGATTGCAGAACTGTTGAACTGTTGCCTTGATGATAATAATGATGTTTTTATAACCCGACTATGTCGACTATATTAGAAACAAACAAGTTCACGCACAGGTTTAATTCAAGTTTAAGCCAATAAAAGAAAAAACCCCCTTCTGAAGAATGGACAATCCAACCTCTCCGTTGGTTAAGCATCATAGGGTTGCAGCTTATAGAAAGCAGAAATATTCTCCCTAAAACAACAGTAGAATTCAAGCTTACACAAAGAAAACAAAAACTTTTTTTACCCACTTTCTTTTCACCTCTACACTGAATATTTTAAATTTTAAATTGATGACAATATAACACATATTTTAAAGTATATTTCAATGCTTATTATTTTACAAATAATATATTTGTGCAAATATCAATGTATAAGCTCATAAAATGTTTGGTATTATTTCAACATCCATCGCAATTTGTAATATCCAACCGGCGTAGGCCATAACATCTGTATAAATTATTTCATTTGTTTGGTTATTACGCCAGCTCAGGATTCCGGTTTGAAGAGAAACTTTTGAAGAAGTAAGAATGCTTTTGGGGCTTCCTTCGCTCTCAATGGGTACATTGGTTACTAGACTGGGGCAAGGATAGCAAAAGGTACGAAAAAAGCAAATGAATCTCTCCCAATTGCTTCTTTCGGGCTTAATTTTTCTAATCTTGAAAGAAGATTCCTTGTGTTCTTTTTCCGGAGTTACCTCGATGCATATCGGTTGTATGTTCTGCTTATATACGACGTCCGGGTCTAATCTGAGTAGTCCGACGTTATGCAGGCTGCTGTTTCCCGAATATAACTTGTGGATGAACGCCATAGCTACTTGTTTTTCTTCATATCTGCTACTTAAATTACTGTTCTTGTTAAACGTTTCGTTGAACTCTCCCAAACGTACAAAGCTGTTAATAAAATATGTATTAGGTGTGTTTTTTAATTTTTAAGGTATGGCTTACATGTCAGTTTGGTTTTCTATGCAACTGGCAGATGTCAGAACAAATCCTAAAAAAAAATTATTTTTTAACTCAAATAATATGATTTCCGAATATATACCAACGTTTGTTAATTAGCGTGCCAGCACAGATAAAAGTCCCGTTTTCGGCACTGCGTATTTCTACCATCCAAGGAAGTTGACTTAGTGTATTTTTAACACGTCCGCAATCCGGCTCCAAATAAAGAGCGAATCCCTGGTGAAGCAAAAGCACAGAACATAAAACTGTCCACCGTGCGGCCCCCATTGTTCCAAGCAAAACGCTACTATACGACTGATTTTATGCGGTAATCTCCGTTCGTATTTTTATAAAAAGTGCTTATCTTATTTTGAAACAGGGTGTACATTATTTTTAAGACCTAGGCTTATCATCGAATTTTTATTTACCGTTTCAATGAAATTTGTTCATTTGCACTGCTTATTTACTTTATGATATTTTAGAAGCACACAATTTTTAATCTACAAGCTAAACATTTAGAATTATATCAACGTCTAGAGCGTTTGATATAATCCAGTCGGCATAGGCTAAAACATGAGTATAAATAAAAGCATTACTTGTAGAATTCCGATAGCTTAGGATTCCATGTTGAACTTTTCTAATAATTGATTCAAATTTGGTTGGAATGGACAACGGCTTCCCAATAGACCCTCTTGGTAGGCCAGCGGAGCTTGTCGGTTTAGAATGCATCTTTACACCCGACAATGAGTTGCTAAGAGATAACGTTGGAAAAATCTTTTGGGAGTCTATCAGTATGCATATCGGTTGGATGTAAGGCTTATACTCGACATCGTTTACCAATTTTAGCAAACCTATATTATGCTGATGGGAGTGTTTGGAGTACATCTTGTGTATAATCCGCTCCAGTACATGGTGTACTTCATAAAGTTTACCACGTAACGACCCTTCACACTTCCCCAGGCAAACAATGCTGTTACGGAAATAATAATTTTATAATTTGTTTTATACGAGGGTTTTATATTGACTATGACTTACAAGGGTCCTTGATTTTCCAAGCAACTTGCAGTCGTCAGGACAATTCCTAAAAAATTATGGATGATATTCAAACTATCTTTTTTGTTAAGCTAAATGACGTTTGGAATTCTAACGTTTGTTGATAAGCGTTCCAGTGCAGACAGGTCGACGATTCGTTTCACTTCGAATTTTAGCTACCCAAGGGTTGGGGTTAACCCTATTATTATATAGACCACAATCCTGCTCCAAAAACAAAGCCGACCCCTTCTGGAATAGCAGCAGAGTCAAGAAAGCTATCAAGCGTGAGGCAATCATCACGGCGTACAGAAAGTCACTGCCGAACGGATCTGAACAACAACTGGCGCTCAATTTATTTATAAGCTTATCGGTAACGCATCTCGGAAACATTTAATTTTCTTTATTTGAATTAATAATAACAATGTCGAGCGCCCGAGGAAATATCCAGTCGGCATACGCCGAAACATTAATATACACGTCAGCAAATGTTTTGGGATTGCGATGACTAAGGATTCCCTGTAGTTCGTAGCGTAGTAAGGGTCCAAATGGAATTGTTCGGGTCGAAGGACTCCCAATAATCACAGAATCTAAATATTCTTTTTCCTTATCACTTGCACAACGGCTGCCAAAAATAACCTTGATCGAGCACCAATCGCCTATTCTGGGCTTCTCGTTGAATATCTCATAGCTGTAGGCCCTGGGTTTGTTTTCCGTGCTTCTTGAAATGCATATCGGTTGTATATGTGCCTTAAATTCAACTTCCGTTTCCAGCCGAAGAAGGCAAATATCGTGCTCAAAACTGCTGGCCGAATAAGACTTGTGCACGAATACATTTGTTACATACAAGTCCTCATGACTGTTATAGTTTCCTAAGCGGACGATGCTGTTAAATAAATTTCAATTATAGTTTTTGACCTTTCTGTAAAGTATTTTCACTTACAGTTCCGTATGGTTTTTTATGCAACTTGCAGCTGTCAGGACGTAATCTAAAAAATATTTTTCTTTTGTATTAAAGATATACCGACAATATGGTGCAATAAATACTTCGGTTAATAAGGCTGGCAGCGCATATTTTTTTTGAATCTGTTCGAATCTCTGCCAACCAAGGTGGGGAAATCCATTTAGCATCGAGATATGGATTAATGATTCCACAATTGTCCTCTAAAAATTGGGCCGATCCGTGATAAGAAAGCAACAGTACGAAAACAGCAATCCACCACGCGGTATTCATCTTTCCAACCGTATATTCAATGGAATACTGATTTTCGTCGCGAGCTCAGTTTGAATTTTACTTTGAATACAGCTTATCATTAAATTTTGCAGTCCTTTTAAAGCGGAAGCACAGACTAACCGCAAACAATTAAGTTGCAATTTTTGAATATAGCAATTTTTTAGGTAAATTACCTAAATCAACGACGAGACTTTCCGGAGTGGTATTAGTCAACCAATTTAGTCCTGCATAATTTTTTTTTTTTTTATGTTTAAGTATTGAGTTATGAAATGTTTTGTTTTAGTAATTAAAGGGTATTATATGAAGTAACCCCAAAGTACACTATGGTAAATTGTTGATAAGAATGTCAGCTCCGCCTATAACAACATTTCTTATCTTCTACAATTTAGAAATTTCTGGTATGCTGGGAATTCTCAAAATTTCCGTTTAGTAACATTATTTGTCTGTGAGTCATGGCAATACCCGAAACAGAAACCGTACTCTTAGGTCAAATTAACGCTCTCGATTTAGAGGAACAATAAATTATTAAAATATTTTCAGTATGGCTATACCATTTGTGTCGTCATTTCTATACTATACACTCTCTGTCTTTTTAAGCTGGTGTTTCTGCCGAACTACGTTCCATAAAGAACAGTGACGGATCGTAAACTCAAAAGTTGGTTGACAAAGGGCAGTAGCAAACACAACAATCGCAACATCAATGTTTGAAGATGAGCGACATATTATAAATAGTCAGTGACGAAAGCATAAAACCAAAAAACCGAGAAGCGACATTTAGGAATCAATTCTCTCTCTGGTTTTTCTTTAATTAGTGGTAAAATCAAATGAAAATATATTTCACAAAATTACTATAAAAATCGTAACATTTATTTAGCAAACTAGAACTATCTCCGGGGTGTGCATAAAAAAGCAGGCAGGAACTCTAGTATTGTTTCATTACAAGTTTTTTAAAGTTTTCCCAAATATATGTGATAAGGTGGATTTGAATGTGATGGTTTTTGATTGTTCAATTTAAGTAAAACACGTCAAAGAGTAGAACCTTTATGTCGAAAGTGTATATCAAAAAGCGGTTTGTCAGCAAGGAAAGAAAAGCGACAGGAAAACCCACTCCAAATTACCCCTAAACTCAGCACAGAGAAGTGGGGAAATGGAAAAAAGGGAAAAGGGGCAAGAGTATAAGGTAAACGACAAGAATACGATTGGAAAACGATTTTCATTTCTGCAGCTAATATGAGCGACAAATCTAAGTGAAGTGGGGCAAAGTGGGCGTGGCTATTACACATACACTCACACACACACACCATGCAAAGGGACAATTTCGAAATCAATATTTATGACTGCCCCAGCAGATTTATTGCAATTGGCGAAGAGGGGTTCGAATTTCTCCCCGTTCTAGTTGAATTCTCTTCTCCATTTCCAGTTTTTCTCTGGTCGCTTTAGTTGCTTTTTGCCGAGCTCACAAAATAATAATATCCCGTGTTTGATTTTCGTATGCAAGCGCATATCTATTTATTGTCTCTGTAGTTGTGCATTGCTTCGTTTATGACACTGCAGCATTTGATGATTTATGCATTTTAAACAAAATGTCAGCAAATGGACGTATATAAAGGAGCTGGCATTTTTTGCCGTCGTATACATTTCGTTTCTTCGCCAGTAAAATGATCAAAGAAATTCCAGTTGGCATTGCTTTCGAATGGATACTGGAGCGGGTGCAACTGCATTCAATAAACACATATGCAGTCAGTGCGCCTTTGGCGACCACGCCCTCTCTTGCTACAACATCAGAGCACCGAAACGAAATAATTGGATAGTATTTAATTTTAATTCTCTTAATAAACATCCATTTAATATTTGTTGGTAATTTTGTTGCATACAAATTCACAAAGCTTGCTGATAATTGTAGGTAATTAATAACAGTAATTTTCGAAAAATAAAAATTCAAACTTATTAAAAACTAGTTAACGCATGACCAAAACATTCAATTTTTTTCTGTGTGGCTATGTAATTCCATTTGTTGGTCTCGGGTTGTGTTGGTGCTTGCCAGCCAAGAACAACTTCAATTGAATTATGAATTTCAAATTTCAATTCTAGTTCTTTGGCTGCAACGGCAACAATAACAAATGCATAAACAAACAGTAATTGCTACCTAGCCAAAATGAGTGAAAGGCCTCAAAGCGCTTTTGTTTGTACGCTCCATCGTTCGTTTGGTTTCGGTTTTGGTTTGGTTTTGGTACAACAGACGTTGAAATGTAAAACTACCCCCCTCTGGGAGCCTAATGTCCATCAAGGTTTTAAGCTGTTTGTCAGCCACAAACACACTGACGGGCAGACAAACACACAGACACAAGGATTTGGCTCATAAAAAGGCCTAAACATTGCATCAATTCATCAAAAGGGAAGAACGGAACGGAGCAGACTTTACTCCGACATCTGTCATCGGCAGAAGGCAAAGGGATGGGAAGGGGGCCCATGATCAACATAGTCGATTTCAATTAGAAGCTGCATTTGGATTTTGGCCTGGAATCAAATGGTTTTCGTCTGCTACTCAGGGTGAACACATAAATCTTATAAGGACGATACTTATACTTTAAATATTATAACAAATATTATAATAAACTTACAAATTATAATAAATGAAGTTTTATAAAACTGGTTTGAACAGAACCATAGATTTGATGCAGAAATTCAAATGGCAAATTGTAAAAATACGGTCCACTCAATTAAGACTTCCACACTGCCTTATGTGTGACTAAGATTCTAACTACGCTTCTGTTTTTGTTTAATTTCGAGTATAATATTTGATATGATTGCTACTTTCGGATTTTGATATATCCTGCACAAACAGAAAGGCACAGGAAATCATATTAATTTGCCGTCTCTGCATACATGAGCATGATACGGCTGGGGACGCCAAGGATGAGTGGCGGACTCAGTCTCTTGACGCTGCAGTTGTGAGCCTGTGAGCTCTGACCCGGCCTAATGAGCCGCATTTAATGAGCCGCAAACACGATAAACATGCAACAGAAACGACAACAGCGGCAGATTGATGTACAGCATCCCGACCACATCCCCCTGCCTCCTTGGTCTTCACCTCGTCACATGTTACCTGCGATGAACCCACATCAGAATTTGTCTCGCGGCGCTTTTATCAACTTTCGCGAACAAGCCGCGTACGCACACTCACACGCACGTCGAATGGTGAACGGCGAACGAGGAAAAAGGACCTCGCTCAGGATTCGACATTTCATTAACAGGACACAGCCTGGTACAGAAAACGCCAGAGGCCTTTCCTGGTAGTTAGCGCTAACAATGTGGCTTGATGCGGCCAACTTTGGATGTTAGTCGGCGGCGAAGGAGGAGCATGAAACAAGCACTAAATGCTTCAAACTCAACTTTAAAGTGGCATTACTATAATTTCTGAAAGAAAGTTATAAAGTTTTCTGCAAAAAAATGCAAAGAAAATGCCACAAAAACTCAGTAAAAGGTCAACAAATATAATACGGCTTAGTTTTGCGACACGGATAAAACAAAAATGTAACATATAAAATTTCACTTAAAAGTTTACAGTATTTCTTATACCCATCGCAGCCTCAATTTTAAAATAAGCTTTAAACTCCAAGAAAATTTGCATTCCAGTTAACTCTTTTCATATTCTGTGACCCTTTTGAGGGAAAATTTTAATTTTTCTACCACAATCAGCTTATGCATTTAACTATGCTCAATTAGGGCACCTAATCAGCTCTCCAGAGCACCGCCGAGAAGGTCAAAGGCAGCATTTAGTCCGGTTCCTCCAAAGCCCCAAATGAAGAGTCAAGTGCGCAGCTCTCTGCGAAGGAGTATAGCACGAATAATTGTTTTATTGCCCACACAGCCAAATATTTATGCCTAATTGGGTGCCAATTAGGCACTGCCGGTCACCACTTTGTGCAGATCCCCTCCACGCTTCACCACTGTTCTTTACGAGCGTTTTGTTTAAACTTTTTATTTTGCGGAAAAGTTTGGCGTCGGCCAACGCGAAGATAGACGAGGGACGAAAAACGAAAACTTAATTAAACTGTCAATTGCTTTCTAATGAATGAATGCAAAGATGAATGAGTAATGAAGCTAATTATGCCCGGCAAATACGTAAAAGTAGCCATAACCCATACACACACACACACTCACACGAATATAAAATTACAGCGGAGGGGTACAAATTTTGCATTTTATGTGCTGGCATTTTAATTAAATCATCCCCAGACCGGCGGCACATGGCAGGTTCTTAATAGACAAGCAACTCTTTCGACAGATCAAAGCACTGGCCAAACTAATTGACAGCACGCGTCTTTAATATCTGAGGGGTTTCGTTGGTATCTCGTTGAAAATAAAATTTGATACATTTTTTGAGGGCCAACAAACCATAATATTTCAAGAACTTAAGAAACTGGATTTTACGATTATGTTACGAAAACTTGTTTAAATGTGCTGAAATTAAACGTTCTTTAAATTTCAAAGTATTTAGCTGCATTCCTTGGAAATGATAAAAATCTAAATGTAAATAGTTAAAAAATAATAGCTACATTATTTTCCTACCTTAGCCTGCTGTTCGTGTGGCACCAATTGACATTTTGACATCTTAATCGCAGCATGTGTAAAATGAAAAAACTTTTTTAATTTCGGGAGGCAATTCCGCTTGACGTGATTCGGCGCCAGAATGCAAATGTGCAGCTCAGACGAAGCAGGCGTCCCGATGCCTGTTGGAAATTAAATGAAAATCCAGCGTCGTGGAGCTGGAAAAGCAGTTGGCAGCAGCAGTAGCAGCAGCAGAAGCATCAGCAGCAGGTAAATCAGCTTGCGCAGCATGCAAATTGATTAGCCTAGGCTCGAGCACGAACTGCAATCTGGACACCTGGCAACGGCACAGCACAAACAATGGGCGATGAAACGGTTGCAGGAGCATCTTGTTGTTATCCCAATGCAATTTGCAAACAAGTGCAAGGCATTAGGCCTAAGTAC